ACACACACACACACACACACACACACACACACACACACACACAATGAATGATGTACTTTCACCACAGGTTTAAATCTGTATATGTGTTTCTATGTGTGTGTGTGTGTGTGTGTGTGTCGGCAGGCCTTGAATCGTCTGAAGGCGGTGTGTTTGCGTCTTGCGGTAGGGCCCTGTGTAGCGGAGGCCTGCATTGATGCTGTGGTTTCTCACTTCCTGTTGGGTCTACCCTGGTTCTGGGCCTTTTTACTGGGGTAACACACACACACGTACACACACAAAAACACACACACACTCACACACACACACACTGTGTTGTTCATTCTGTTCGTTTGTGCGTAGCTTCGTCCTGGCTGCAGTGTCTCCAGCGGTGGTCGGTCCTGCGATGTTGCTCCTGCAGCGAGAGGGATATGGAGTGGGGAAGGTAAATTAACTGCTGCTGCTGTGACTTAACACTGCTGGTTCTACATTTTACCCCCAGGGGGCGCAGAATCACCCAGCCCCTTCCCGTGGAGAGAATAAACGCTAGAATGTCTTTATTGATCACACAGACCTATGAAGGGAATCACCATGAGGAATAAGCAATAAGAATAAAATTCCTGAGTCCCCTCCAGAAGCCCATCAATGAGAGAAATGTAATATATCTAATCTAAACAACCAGCAGAACCACCTGAAGGAACTGAGAGTCTCCCCTCGGATCAATGTCCCCAATCACTACATTGTCTTTCCTAAGAGACGACAAGAATCACCAAAACAAAACATTTTAGCCATGAAATGTTGTAACTAGTTTGTGCGATGTTCTGTTAACATTGTGATATTGTTCTGTGCGGTTGTTCAGGGAATCCCCACCTTGCTGWTGGCCGCTGGGAGTTTTGATGATATTCTGTCCATTACAGGGTTCTCCACATTCCTGGGAATCGCTTTCTCTACAGGTCAGAGAACAGCTTCTACTCTGTTCTGTTCCCTTGTGATCCACTTTAYACTCAACGTGATGTGGTCGTGTTTGTCCTGCAGGTTCTACGTGGATGAACATCCTGAAAGGTSTCCTGGAGGTGGTGGGAGGGATCATCGCTGGGCTGATTCTGGGTCTGTTCTTGTGCTTCTTCCCAAGCAAAGACCAGGTTTGACATTGAAGTATTATAAAATCAAAACCAAACTTAATTCCAATTTAATATATTTKAACATACTCTGCTTCTCTGTCCCTGCAGGAGGACCTTGTGTTGAGAAGGACTCTCATGTTGTTGGGTCTGTCCATATTTTCGGTCTTCTTCAGTCACGTTATTGGTTTTKCCGGAGCCGGTRGTCTCTGTACTSTGGTGCTGGCCTTCCTGGCTGCTCTGGGCTGGAAAACTGACAAAGTAAAACACATCAGAATCAATGGATCAAACCTTGTTTACTCACCATCAGCATGTCTGAAACCGTTCACACCACCGACTCTGTCTTTTCATCCAGGCCCCGGTGGCAGCCATGGTTGGTCGGTCATGGGATGTTTTCCAGCCTCTCCTGTTTGGTCTGATTGGAGCAGAGATCTCCATARCAACCCTCAGCCCCAGCACCGTTGGTAAGAACCCGACACAGAACAATTATCAGAATAAATATTCAGCGGACCTACACTAAAAATATCGTCACGTTCT